GTGCAGTGGGGCACATACGGGAGGACAGGGGCTAGGGCCAGAAGCATTAGTGAAAGCGACAGTTAGAAGAAAGGAAGGTTAACCGCTAGCAGAGTTGAAGGCAATCCATAATGTGCCATCAGTGGTGATGTTTCGGATGTGAAATACCCTGGACTTTATAAAGCAACCATCTGCTGTGTTCTGAGCCATTGGGCCTACGGCTATCTGGCAGCTAGACGTGAGCGCGTGCAGTGAGTGAGGGTAGCGAAGGGATTGAGGCACTGGGGGTGGGATGGGTTGGTGGAATTACGACTGGATAACGTAGTGTGCTTTGATAAGAACACACTGGATACAGAAGCATTAGTTGAAGCGGTTATTTGAAGAAAGGAAGGATTCGCCGCTAGCAGAGCTGCGAACCAATTCATAATGTGGTATCAATTTAGGGTAATGTTTTGAATGTGAATATGCAAGTATATGCACGACAACCGTTAATTACATTCGGTTCCATAATGGGGTAAGCAAATATGAATTCTCACTCCAACAGAGAAAGCACGACAACAAAAGGATCACTGGGAGTTATGAGGAAAAGAGCGATATCACTGTCATGTCTGATATAGGGTGTCGTGAATTAACACAGACATTAATTGCTTGAGTATGGACGGAATGTTAAAATGTTTACGGCTCAATTTCCCCATCAGAGACTGGGCTTTCGTATGAGCTTATACGTGGCACCATTGTATGAAAGCAAACACGGCTTCTAACCAGTTTGAATAGCTCAACTTACGCGTATTGACGCGCGTTCAAACTTTGCGAAATGAAACAACCTTTGTAAGAGTGAATGTAGTTCATCTGCATAGCTATCAAGAGCCAATGGAAGGCTAATCATTCAAAGTGCTGCTACATATAATCCGCTATGTCCGTGTGTGTGCCATCAGTCTGTTTGTCACGTTCATACACTCTAGTTCTTTGCGGACGGTTGGGACGTGTCAGCCAGTATGAGTGTGTCACCCTTCAAAGCCTGCCTCTTGTTGAGGACCGCATTGCTACAAAAAAGTGGTAGATACGAGTAATACGCAGTATATGATAAATATTGTCACTTTTTCCGCTTCAACAACTGGTGAAGAACGAGTTTGGCCATCGCGCCAAATGCAGCCACGCTGACACGCCCAACCGTCCGCAGCGAACTACCACTATAGCGAGCGTGGCAGAAATGATAGGGATGACAGCTCAAGAAGTGATATACAAGGCAGGACGGGAACACTTCTTTGGTGGGTGACAGGAGGTGATACACACTTGATATTCGATAAGGGGCCTTAGAAGGGAAGGGTGACCGAAATCGTAGCGCGAGTTGCAGCAGCTGGCGGGATCGTGATTTCAAGAAGTGATATGCGCGGTAAGGTGGTGTGGCTGACAGGAGCTGATAACATCTGATAATATCGATAGGGGACCTCTACAAGCGGGCTGTCACCAAATCCTTTGCCGCAGGTTAAACCTGACGCGTGCGGACTTTATTTCAAGATGTGCGTCTTTGTGGGCAGGTTGCAGGTCTGCGGGACCTTGGTTCAACAGCAGTGGTATGAAGGGGAAGAGGCGGTAACCCCTGACGGTGACAATTGAGTAACAGAACCTGATAAGAGGTCGAAAGGCGTCAATCAGCGAATCCGCAACACGCGCTTACCTGCCACAATTGCGATTGATATGACCAGGTATCAGGCTCTCAGTAGTTCGTACACAACTCACTCGCTATGGCTCTTACGCTATCGCACATCATGTACGCCGTTTGAAGCATACTGGAGTTCAGTTGCAGGACGGTTGTTTGACCCAGTTGCCATAAACTGCAGCAACTAACTTCATCACTATGACCATGATTANATTCCATCAACAACCCGAGAGAGGACCATTCGAAGCGCAAGACTGCCGAATGCTGGCGAGCATTCCAGAAAAAACCCCTACAGTGGTGGAGAACGCATTGAGCGGTAGGATGCTTCGAAGGCTGCTCTTACAAGTTACTGAATTTTCGTGTGAATGGTCATGGAGATTTTTGGTACGAACCCTGAGAAGAGAAAGGACAAAGGATAGATTTCAGCGTTACACTGGGACAACGGTTACAATTCTACCATATATATCCTTTCATTCTATAAACCAGTAACTTTGTGTGTCGGTTTGTATGTTTGTATGTATGTAGGTTTGTAGGTATGTATGTATGTTTGTCTCTCCGTCCGCAAAATACTTCACGGGTTCGAGTTCGCTGGAGGCGAAAACGACCGCTAGGCAAACCGGTAACCGACTGGGAGGATGTAGCAGTCCAATGATTTGATTGTGATAACAGCCTCCGCTATATAAGACAACCACTCGGTACACTCCGAGCCATTGCACGAGCTACTGGCGTGGCAGCTGGACGTGTGCTCGTGCGGGGCAGGGTGGGGGTACCGGGTCGCCCTGCCTCCCTCTCCTGCACGTGCTCAGCCGGAGCTGAGCACGTGTATGGGAGGGAAGAAGAGGGGAGGGGTCCCGAAGGGGGTGCAGGGGAGGGGTGCGTAGCGTGCGCTTGAGTAGAAACGCGCAGCAAAGGAGGAGGGAACAACCGATAAGAAAACCGCAGGCTAATCCATGTTACCGTTACGCATTGAAAAGTTGTTTTGGTCATAATAACACTTTCCATATAAGAGGACCACCATACTCCGAGCCATTGCACGGGTTTCTCGTGTGGTAGTTGTAGAGAGCGCGCGCAAGAGGCAAGATGAGGAGGGGAGTGGCGAGTATGGAAAGGGATGAGGTGGGAAGGTGGGAGTGGGTACCGAGTGACCTCTTCTCCTGTTCTCCTCCCTTGCGTGTGCTCAGTCGGATTTGAGCCCATACAGGGGAGGAAGGCAGAGGGATTGGATCGGGCAAACTGGGTACAGTAAGGGGATGCGTAGCGTACGCTAGGATAGGAGCAGGTGGCAAGATAGAAGGAAAGAACCGCTAGCAAAACTGCAAGCTAATTCATGTTACAGCAACGAACTAGGAAGCGGTTTGAATTGTGAATCGCTCCCCTATCTAAGCCAACCACTGTGATAGACTCTGTGCTATTGCAGGAGCTGCTCGCTTGGGAGCTGGACGTGAGCACGAGCAAGGCGGTGGTAAGAACAGTGGCGGCGTAATGTCCCTATGTTGCACCAGCTGCTCACGTGGCGGCTGCATACCACGTGCGGGAGTGGGCGCTTAAGTTAGGGTCAGTAGGATATGATGCGGTGAGGAGAATACTAGATGAGAACGGCGATTTCGCGAATAGCGCCTGCGGCGGTAAGGCGTCTACGGTTGCGATAAGATGAGAAGAAAATGGATCGACCGCAATCGGAACTGAACCTATTAATGTTGCATTATCAAACTGTGGTAGCGTTTTGATAGTCATAACAGCCTCCGCAACATAACACAACCATTTAGTGCATCAGAACCATTGCACGGGCTATTCGCCCAGGTGACCTGTAGGGTGGCTGAGAGGGGAATAGCTGAGGTTAGTTTGGGAATAGGTGAGGTGGAGGGGTACCATATGGCGCGACCGACGCTCGCCTGAACAGGAGCACGCAGCGACTGCGGAGACCGAAGCATCCTTTGCTGTCATAAGAAGGGAAGGAGAGTAATCGATCATCCATGACCAGATTTTGAACCTTTCATTATGAAAGTGCCCTGCGATCATATGGTGCGTTTCTACATTCATTTGATTAGAAGACAGCGGTTAGTCACGACTCTAAAGCAGTTGCATGAGCCCGGCGAAGCCGGGCTACTAATAAGGAGGAGAGCTCGGCGTTAGCCGGGCGATCCGACTGGTATTATATAATCGACTATGTCCGTGCGTGTGCGCCTGTCTCTTTGACACGAAATTCATAGCGAAGTTCCCAGTAGCAGCGAGATATTGATTCTAAGAAGTGACGTGGGGGGTGTGACGGGAACACTATTGGTGGGTGATAGGAAGTGATATCAGTTGATAATATCTGGTAAGAGGACTCAGAATGGAACTCTCACCATATTCTTAATGCGGGTCACAGCCTCAGCCAGGTGTTGATTCCAACATACGATGTAGGGTATGGGAAAGGAACATTATTGGTGGACGACAAGAACTGTCAGCTGCTGATAAGATTCGAGGGATGTTAGAAGGGTATGGTCACTGAGTCCATCACGCGAGTCACAGCAACAGTAGGAGGTTGGTTCCAAGATACGATGTAGGGTTTGGGAAAGGAACACTAAGTTGGTGACAAAAACTACCACCATCTGATAAGATTGGATAAGGGGCGTCAGGCTCTTTCTTTTGATGCCACTAGAATTTCGGAAGTAACGAAGCGCTGTATGTTGCACAATTATCTGCCTATATTCAACTTTAACCCATTGCTCGAGTTATTTCCAATTATTTTTCTACATTTTGCTGGAGAATACACTGTGACGGTTAGGTGTATTTTGCTTTATCTTGCCTAAAGAAAGAGTGCATGGCGAAGCCAGGCCGGCCCGGCGAAGCCGGGCCCTGACTAAGAAGGAGGAGCACCCGGCGGCAGCCGGATGATCCGACTGGTGCTCTGTATATTCGGACAGAGAAGCCATTACCATTTGGCAAATGGTGCACCTCTAGCTCCGCACATGCAAGGAATACATATCGCAAGCGAGCTTCTGTTACCTATTTAGAGGAAAGTTGGTAAAGCAGTAATATCATAAACAATGAACATTAGTGATCTCCAGCTTCACTCTTGCCTCCTGGCTTACCCTGCATCCTTGATTAGTGTTACGCTGTATTCAGTACATTTTGGCTGTTTTTCGCTTTTCCCCACTTTTCAGTCAATTAGCACGGTGACATCAATATTTTGAACGCTTCACCTGACTGCCAACGGATGCCAGTCGTGAGCTTTGTTGTGAGCTTTGTAGTTGAGCTACCGACGGTAGAGCACTAGCTAGCTGAAAATGATTCATTGCAAAGTGATAACAAGCGCGATAAAGAACGCTATATAAGCTCGATTAGTAAGATAAGAACCATTTCGCTGAACTCCAGCAGAATGTTTCCGTCGTTCCATGTTTTCTGCCTCATGCTAGCGGTGACGATCCTTTCTGCAGAAGTGTCCGCTGCGATCGATGCGAAAACCATAAAGAAAGCCAAAAACGGCGAATGGTTCTCTCTTCCATATGATGAAGATGACAGATTCCTCAAGGTAAGTCAAATCAAAGACAAAATTTTAACAGTCTGTTTACGCTCTGCAGCAATGATCTCTTGCATCGCTGTCACTTCTAGATCGTAACTGTTTCAACAATTGGTTCTGGCGACGTCAGTTACGAGAACGCTCAAGAGTACTGTCGGAGAGAAGGTTCTTACCTGATGACCATTCATTCCCAAGCGGACATGAACAAAATAACAGGTTATCAAAACCATAAAATACCGTTAACATAACAGTAGCAAANCGTTTTTTTTCTCACTGACGCTTTAGCTACATTCACATCTTTCTGCGGATTCGAAGAACGGGAACAAAAGGGATTGGAACGGGAAATTACGACTGTACTTGCCATGAGGCACACTCTAATCAACTTGTCACTGCTCGGATGGAGAATCCGCAAAAGGGATTGTTATTATCGAATCGAAAAAAGTGAATAAACGCATAGGACAGCACCGCTCGATTGTATAATCCTAGCATCAAACCAGACAGAAAAATGGCGGAATAGCTTCGAACTCGAAATGATTTGATTCCTTATCATTGGGGCACTGGGCGCAGACATGCCATCCCTCTGTTGGACATGGTTACCGATGCGTAACTAAAAGCCGTTCGCGCAGGTTTCCGAACGCCCGAAAGGACAGAACTTTGCTATCATTTTTCAGGTACAGGAGCTCCAACACGAATGCCGTGTAAGGGTAAACCGATAGTCAAGTTAGGCGAAGATGCCGCTCGTGGAGCTAGGCCTCCTCGAAGATACGCGAGTCTGCGGTCATCACCTCGTATCACTGTGCTCCCCCTTGTCATCGGGAGATCTCGAGCGGGCGCCAGTAACGTCTCCATTCGTCCTGCAACGTGCAAGAGTTGCCCAGTGATCTCTCTCAGCCCGAGGACACGATGAACATCATACCGTTCGCTCAGAGCTTTCACGAAGAAGTCTGACCATCGCGTAGGCTGCCGTCCAGGCGTTCGCTTGACATCCCGTGGAATTCACTCGGTGACTGCTCTGGTCCAGCGGTCGTCCTCGAAACGCTGAGTGTCCGGCCCACCTGATCTTCGAAACCTTGGCAAAAGCGGCAGCGTCTCTGATCTTCGATCGTTGGCGGAGTGCGGAGCTCCGGATTCCCTCTCTCACTTGCGTGTAGCGGAAACTCCGAGCATCGCCCTTTCGATGGCGCGTTGAATAACGCCGACCGCACGCTCATCCTGCTTTCGTAGAGTCCAATTCCCTAAGGCTAAGTCAAAGCAGGAAAGACCGCGGAATCGAAGAGGTGGGCATGGAGCTTAGTGTTCTTCGTCTTCTTCGCTACTCCCTCGATGTTCTTGAGAGCTCCTCAAGCCGCTCGCTTCCTCCTGCTCAGCTCTGGAGCTAGGTATTCATCATATTGATTCCACGACCTAGGTACACATAGAGCATTCAAAGATGTTCGTTCCGTTGAGCGTGAATGGGGCATCAGATATCAATCCGTTTCTCGTAAATATCGTCTTCTTAAAATCAGCCGTGGACCGATTCCTCCACACGCGCAGTCGAATTCAGCCAGCATTCTTTCCGCTTGCTCGATGTTTGATGTTATCAAAACGATGTCGTCAGCAAAGTATCTGCCCATTCCAGTTGACGCATGACGTTCTAGAGAGAGGCGCTGAAGTGCTTGGGCGAGATGGTGTCGCCCTGTCGGACCCCCCCCCCTCCTCACATCAATGATCTCCTAGTAGGATGGTGAGATCTTGGTTGTGAAGTTGCTGTAGAGCTCACGAAGAATCCTAATGACTGAGTAGGAATACCCTGGTTGCCCAGGGCTTCAATAACCGCTTCTGCCTCAACGGAATCGAAGGCTTTTTTCAAGTCGATGAACGTGAGAAATAACGGCATCTTGTACTCTCGCGATACTTCAATGAGATTCATTACCCGTGTGGATGTGATCAGTCGTGCTGAATCCTCTTCGAAACCCTGCTTGCTCGCATGGCTGTCCTTCATCCAGTGTTCTTCCAATTCTGTTAAGGATGACTCATGTGAAGAGTTTGTAGACTACAGACAGCAGGCAGATTGGGCGATAATTGCCAATGTCGTACAGATTTCCCTCCCTGTACAGCAACACAGTCTTGCTGGTTTTCCACGAGGTGGGTACCTTGCATTCCGACAGGTAGCGAGTGAAGAGTCGAGCCAGAGTTTCGGCGAGAACTGGCGGAAGACTCTTCAGATGTTCGGGTCTGATCCTGTCGGGACCGGGTGCCGTACGATTCTTCACCGATGAGATGGCGTTTCGGACTTCGGAAGAGAGAACAGCTGGAACGATATATCCATCCTGCTCCAAGCGGTATGGTTGCAGGTGGACGTGGCTGTCAAAGAGATCCGAGTAGAAGTCGTGGATGACCTTCTCCATTGCCCTTCTGGATGCGGTGTTTGTTCCATCCGGACGTCGGAGGGCGGTCATCTTGGTCTTACAGTTGGCGAAGCTGCGGCGGGCGTTGCGTATGCTCTTCCCAGCCTCTGCGGCTTCCACCAGTACTGCTGCTCTTCTCTCCTCGAGGTTTTCCTTTATCGCTCCCCTGCATAGTTTCGCAAGCTCAGACGTCAGCTGGTAATTGCCTGCGGCTCGTGCGGCTCCACGTTGGCGAATCAGCTCGAGAGTTTCCGGAGATAGACGCTTCTTGGTAATCTTGCAACCCTCTGACTTCTTGGCGCAGTCGTGAAGATGTGCAACAAGCCGTTCGTATTCCTCATCGATGTTGTCCATGACAGAATCCTCCCAGAGCCCAGCGAGAGAAGTGAAGTGATCCCAGTTGATGAAGGTCTTGGGGCTTCGCTTTTTGAACTTTACGGCTCTCTCTCCTCGCATCGAGAAGCGGAATCTTGCGCGAAGGAGACGATGGTCGGATCCCATGTAGAACTTAGGGACAACAGCGACATCGGTCAGGCAAAGCCTTCGATTGCAGATGATGTGGTCGATCTCGTTATGGAATTGTCCACCAGGAGACTCCCATGTCCAGCGTAGATGGTAGGGCTTCTGGAACTGCGAGTTACCATGGATGGTATGGGTCGACATGATAAACTCAGACAGTATTTTACTCTATATATTGAACGCAATCCCCAACAATTCCTATCCGAAGCCTCATGTGGGTGGTTGTGAACGTTTTGGATGTTCCAAAAAACGTACCAATCGGGGGTGGCCAGCTCAGAGCATGGCGCAGCTACGTGTTGGTCGATTTCTTCTCTACCAACTCATTTGGGCCTCCATTCACCATGCAACCTGATGGGGAATCACCAAAGGGCGACGTCGGCTGGGACCCGCTCCGGCTGCGGCTGCAAATCTCAGGGCAACGGAGATTTAGTCGCCCAGGACCAGGATGACGATCTGTACTTTTCAACGATACGGACGCTTGCATCGCGAAGCTCACATCGATAGATCTGACGTTGCAAAGCCAAGGAAGATCCAAGTACGACTCATCGGATCTGAAACGAGAAGAGAAGGCATTATGCCGCCTACACGCGCGTAATACAGAGAGCTGGAGAACGAAACTGTTCTCGGAACATGACAGTAGAGCGTTGGCGGGCCTGTGGGCGTCGTCGTCAACACGCATCTTGGCATGAACTCGATTTTTCTACGAAAATCTGACATACCCGAGTCGGGACGTTTGCGATGAGAAGATGTCTGTTCAAATCCGGCTTTGACAATTTCGTGCCTATGCCAACAATATCAAGCTAACGACGAGAATGAGCTCGAAGCGTTTCTATTATGGGGATCTGGAAAATTTCTGCAGGAAGATCATAGCCTATCTTCCAGGTTAATCGTTCGGTGATTTCACATCGCTAAGATC